GAACCGTTCGCTATCAACGGTGACCTCTGATGGCTTTACAGTTCTTGCCATCAGCAAATATGCCACAATATCTTGTATTCCAAGCTGTGCAAGTTTTCTTTCTCTTCTTCACAGCGTCCAGACCGGCACTGGAGCCCATCCAGACTCCTGTCCAATGGGTACCGGGGCTATTTCTCGGGGGGTAAATCGTCCTGGGCGTGAAGCTCACTGTTAACCTCTTTGTATTGCCGAGGTCAAGAGTGGAGGAGCTCTAACTCCACTCCTCCACATATATCTTCAGGATCTAGTGATTAACTAATTAAGCACAGAGACATTATCTTTTTATATTTTGGTATGTAGATCTGTTGCTAGACAATGACCGCGAAAGAAGCATCTATATAACAGCCGTTGCTTGGTAGTTGCTCTGAAAACAACGGCCGTTACTAGGCAATGGCCGAGTAGTGATTATGTGGGCCTTCCAACAGACGCGAAGACAACAGAGGAGCAGCGGTTTCTACGCGGTCCGTGCCAAGATGTTATAAGCAGATAAGTCTAGGGTTCAGTTCAGTAAGTGGAGTCAGGAATTCGGTTGGTTTGTGAATTAGCCAGTCGAGAGATGATGTGGCTAAGGCCGGGGACAGTTCGGGAACACAGAGGAAGGGAAATATCCGCCGTTAGAAGCCGATACCAAGAAACGGCTAGTGAAGACTGAGAAGACATTATGCGTGCTCTAATAAACTTCAAAGCGTGGGAATTAGTAAAACTTTTATGATTACGAGTACTTGTAGTGACAGAACTGTAAGTGTTCAATAAATCTGATTACCGATCGAAAACCACGTATAAATTCACGCTCAATCACGCGACAGTGTTCTTGGTGTGCTGCAAAATTTGAGCGTCAGGTTGCATCCGGTCACCGTTATAAGTCGTAAATCCACTGGAGTTTCCTCTTACATTTCTCATCTCGTGTCAAAAACATGTATGAGGCTGTGTTATCGTCGAACTATGATGCAGAATATTGCGTCGTTATTTCAAATTTATGGATCCTCTTCTCAGCGTACGCTGAGGACCAAAATCATGTCGGTAATCACATTTAACATATGGGACTTTTCTTCCGTAAGGTTGGCGTATGTGAAAGTTGTTTCAGAGAGAATTCATCTACACTCTCCAACCTGAAACCGGAGTAAGCTGCTGCATAATATCAGGGTTTCCAAATGATTTCATGTTCCTTCGAACAATATTGCCTAGCAGTCATGAAATTTACTGCTGTTTGTGGGAAATAAATGTTCATTACCGTGTTTCAAAAATCCAAAAGGAAAGAGACCACTAGGAAGACCAAGACATAGGGAGAGTACATAATATTGTTACGTGTCACAGTGACTAAGACGCGGGTTTGGATTGGTAATTGGATTACTGCATACTTACAGGTCGTAACTACAATTAATCACTACACTACTGCTGCTTTACACAATGTACAATCACTCCACATTAATCTCTTCAGTCTAGCTGCACTAGTCTTCACGGGTTTGTAACAGTGGAACTATAACAGTCTCACCGAACCACACACTCCAAATATTACACATGAATAAAGTCTTATAACCACACGCTAAGTCTTCACAGGCCGACTTCTGGTTCTGCTTCAACTGCGAACTTCCCGTGGCTATCTCCTTGCTTGTTCACGTGCTTCTGCCGCTATTATTTGTAACTTGTAACCTACTAACTTTACTTATATAGCCGAGGAACGGACATGGACCTACAGTAAACATATATCACGTGATGGCTATCCAGCCAGCCTATTGGCGCGTCGGTCGGGTCTACAGAAAACACATGCAACGTGATCACTATCCACGGTTGTGACGTCACCGCGGACATGGAAAACACAACTTCCTCTATTGTTGTGTGCCCATATTTCGGGAGTGGGCTAGAGATGACGTCCTCCTGTTATTGCGTGTTGGAACGTATTTACGGAGCTGTGGCCTGGAAATGCGTTCGTATGTCACAATATTAAAATTAATTTTAAGGAAACTGGATGGGGTTGTATGGACTTGATTCATCTGGCTCAGGATAGGGACCAGTGGTGGGCTCTTGTGAACACGGTAATGAACCTTCGTGTTCCATAAAATGCTGGGAAGTTCTTGAATAGCTGCACAACTGGCGACTTCCCGAGAAGTGCTCAGCTCCATGAAGTTAGTTAATAACAGCTGAAGAGTACAAATGAAAGATTTCTTCATTACGCAGGTCACTCAATACTCATGGTAACCCCCTCCCCTTTAGATTCAAATATTTCCTTCAGCACCCTGTCCTCGGAAAATTCTCAAGCTATATTTTCCATTTGGAAGAGAGGGCAAATTACACGTGTCTACAGATCTACAGTTAATTCTGTCGGGTGTTAGAGTGACTGTACACGTGGTTCTGGATCGGATACTGGATTTGTTGACCACTTATACACACAACTCGGAAATTCAAGTAATTACAGCGCCACAACTAATCCCCGCAATTCACAAATCACCTCAGCACCTGCTAAGGCTTTCCAGCCTGTTGTGTCTTCACCATACCTTCCCTGGTAACGGCTTCTAATAGTGGAGATTCTTCAGCTTCCACGCTCAAGTCCTCTCTTAACAGTGTCCCGTATAGAATTGACTCGGTTCCACCAATGTTCTTTCTTCTAACCCTCTGCATGGACCGAAGAGTAAACACCATTTCTAACGGTGTCTCTATTGTTGTCTTGGTGTCCATTGCCGTGGAAACGTGTTTACCCAGCCGTTGCCTACAAATGGCGCTGGTACATTTGCTTGTCTCACGGTCTACACGTTCTACACTCTGTAATACTGCACGCTTTATCATTGTCTGTGTAAAACATCTTTCAGGATAGGCCGTATCTTGATTATGCAAATATTACGCAAGAACATTTCTAGTGAATTCAACGAAATTTCCTGTACTATGAATTTGGTTTCCATTCAATCTTGAAACAGATCTAATAAACGTCATATGATTATGTAACAAATTACTGAATGATCTGACGTTTGATATAAATTAAAAGATAACTCACACACAATATATATATATATATATATATTCTTGCTGATAATAAGTTGGTCTATGACGTGTGAAATAAAATAAAAATCAAGTTCAACATTCAACTGTTTTTGACATCGAGTTCACAAATAATGGAATATCAAACTCTACAGCCTTCGTTAAGTTCGTGGCCATGTTTCATGAACTGAACTCAAGTGGGCCTCTTGTCTCGAGATAGACTCCAGCCATTCTGCGGCCACAAATGCATGGAGGTCTTCCCTCCGCCAGTGAACATAAAATATTGCATTTTAGGTTCTCACAGTGATGAATATAAACAGTACGATTTTCTGTGGTTGTAACGCCCATAGCATGAAACTAGTATGACGTTTCGGAAGAACATATCACCTCAATCTTCGCTGTCGAAGCGTAAGGTAAGAAAGAAACTGACATAAGCAATTCGCCCACTTACGCTGATCTGTATCTGCGATGGCTCTTTGACGATGAAGATAGACGCAATATGTCCATCCGAAACGTCGCGATCTCATCGAAATAAACAGCGTTAAAACCCGCAAGACCATAGTCTTATAAGGAGAGAACACCACACACTGCTAGAGGGAACAGAGCACAAGCAAAGGGCATATTGCAGATTGCAGACGTAACAGAACAACGGGCTAATTTTTTTATTGCTACTGGGGTGGGACTAAGTCCCTTGTACTGCGTCCACTTCTGGCCTATTGTGCCAGCCCGATGATAGGTGAGGGTGATTGTGGAGCAATTGGTGGAATGAAGATTGGCAGGGGAAACCGAAGTACTCGGAGAAAACCTGCCCCAGCGCCATTTTGTCCACCACAAAACCCACTTGACCAGATCTAGGATCGAACCCGGGCCGCCGCGATGGGAAGCCAGCGACTAACCGCTTGAGCTATGGCGCGGCCTAACAAGGGGCTAACGAACACAAAAATGTGCTGCTGCAACAAAACATAGAGAGAAACATATACGATTAGTTCTAAACAAGTGGAGGACACACTTTGTGAGGCGGAATAGAATTTAACCAAAGTGATGAAAATTTTAATGGATTTTATTTTATTTTATTGAGTGCACCATATCGTATGATTCTAGAGTATATTAATGCAGTGTAGCAGCTTTTATATATTGAGACACCTGAAGATGGCCATCTAGGGCCGAAACATGTTGTGTTAAAGTGATAATGGAAAAAAGGAACAATTGGTTGCATTACTGACGGACTGTGTTATACATAGACGTTTTCGTTTGCTATGACTTGTTAGAAATCATTCCAAGTAGAGTCGAGTGTTTGTGCACTGGAGTGAAGTGATTTTCTTGGTGGGTGAGAGAGTTAGAGGACTAGTGCAGTACAGTCGTCGTGAGTTGCTGCTGTTAGAAGCTGGAAGCTGAGGCCGGGGTCAGTTAGGGAATTCAGAGTAAGGGGAACATCCACCGTTGGAAGCCGTTACCAAACAACGACTGGTGAAGACACAGCAGACAAGGAAGACTTTGTGCGTTGTATAGTGAACTGTAAAATAAGCGATCTGCTTATGTAGTACGTACTCCATCCCTCCAAACTCCATGAGGTAACAAGTTACTCTAAAGGCGCGTCCACATCACTCGTGCTCGCTAGGCTTGTGCTCATCTGGCTTTTACTTGTGCTCGTAAATCTTCGTCCACACTACTTCAGTTGCTCGCCAGGCTTCGGCGCGTGAGGATCCGTATATTTACTCGTAGTGTGTATATGCTGTAGTCGTATTTTAATATATTGGCTACAGTTTTTAAATTAAAAACTTAAAATTTGCTTGTCTCGTGACTTGTCATATCGTCCAAATTACTCTGGAACATAGGGAGTCACACGAGCACGAGCACGAGCACGAGTAATGTGGAGACGCCTTTACAGAGTTAATAGGGCAAGAAAACGTTGCGGGAAAGCTATTTATATGCAATTCCTCCCTAATCTTCTTCGTTGGACCACACTACCGAAACACAAGGATCACACTCACCCACCGCGTGAGGCAGCCAATCCAGTCTCCAAAGCAGAGATCCAGAAGTACCAGTATCTGCAAAAAGGGAAATGGGATATGTCAATTAATCTACGGGAAAGTTAAAGTTGTTCCCGGATCTAAATAATCAAGCACCAGTCCAAGAAGATGTAAGGGGGGAGTGAACGTATTACTCCACCATTCTTCAAGTGTGAAGTAAATGGGGATGAGCGGTCAGCTTCACGCCACCGTCAGAATCCTTCAGAGTATTCTTGTTTAATTATGTTTTTCACTTCTATTATTCGTATACGTATTAGTGTACACGTTTTCAATATCGAAGGAGCAAAATTTTGTGTTTCCATCTGTTTTAGTTTTTTTGAGGTTATGAATTAGGATATTAGAATTGTAAACATTATGAATACTGGATAATTGTGATATGTTACTTACCAATAATATAAGTAATATGCGAGCACTATACCAGTGGGATAAACGTAACTTAAAACCTCCTCTCATTATATATGTATATATATATATGCCGTCGCAGACTCTTCTGTTTATAATTGCAGACTGCCGCCTTCTGGGATGTGACGCCGTACAGATCTCGTGTGAATCGACGTTTGCAGCCTGCAGCCACCTGTTCACATTGGTTCCTCGCTCACGGATTTTTCTACCCTGAAGATGGAAGCTATATGTTCCTCCGATACGTCGGTTTAAACAAGATCTACATGGCGCCACATCCCAGAAGGCGTCATTCTTCATAGTTACCGCCGTGAAAACCTCAGTTCTTACACTGTATGTAATTGTTACAAAATTATACCCAATATCCTCTCCAAACCTACATGTTAACAAATAATATTTCGAGGCCGAAGTTCATCTCTATCTCCCACAAATAACAAGTACAAATAATCAATCGTAAACCATTTCATTTATACAGTCTACTACTTTTATCATACCCACATCAAAATGTTATGAGTACTCACAGAATCGACGATACACACCGCTCGTTCGGGACAAACAACTTTCCTTCATGATACTTATTGACGCTCGAATATTTGTTCTTACGGCAATCGGAAATTGTGTAATGACAGTGACAATTCTTACGTTGTCACAAGTTCATATGTGTAAAAGGATTTGTTGATTAATAAGAACATGTCTCTCAAATATAACATTTACTTCACACTGTTCTACATCCGGTTCTACTTAAAAATTTGAATGACACGAAAGAAAGAAATAAAAACGGTCATGTATTTTGGTAAAAAGACAACATCTTCAAGTAAGATGTGCTACAAATAGGTTCCTTTAGTGCACATGAATACACCAAAACTGAAAGTTTGGCGATTAACGAAAAGTTACACAGTAATGAACTTTTAGGCTCCAAATAACTCAGGAGACTTAAATAAACAGCTGAGCTACCGTTAGCTCCTTAAGAAGGAATTGAGCTGTTCTGAAGCGTTCTATCTTCTGGAATACTACGTCGTGCCACTGTGCCACTAATGAAGCAGTAAGCCATGAAGACGTATGAGAGAGTAACCGTATAGATCCATGTATTCTTGACCTTGATACTACTGTAGTTGGATGTGAGTGGTGAGCTTCGCGCTCTTGCCACTTTCCCCAAGGGAAGGAGCGCCCGATAACCATTGGCTAAAGGAGGAAAGATAAAGTCCTTGTGCTTAACTAATTAAGCACTTTGCCGTGAAAGTGTATGGGGGAATGAATGTATAGATCCATGTATTCTTCACCTCGGCACTAGTTGCAGGTAAACGTTCAGTTCCATGCCCCCACAGTTTTATCCCCAATGAAATAAATCCCGGTACCCATTGTATAGGAGACTGGGTGGGCTCCAGAGTAGGTCTGGACGCAGTGAACAGAAAAAATTATGGTCCCTGCCGGGAATCGAAACCAAGCCGTCCAGGTCGTAGCCAGCCGTTATATCCCGGCTTCAGTCCAATGATTTTTTTTTTTTTGTTTTTAGAAATATCCATTGTTGACTCATATTTCTACTTGACTGTTAAAATATACTATAATATAATTTCCTGGTTTTACAACACTGAATACATTCTAATGTTGCGGAAGACTAGAACGCTTTAATACATTTTAATTACGTATGAAAGTACATGAATGAGTTTTACATCGCCATGTTTTGCTAGAATTAATGGCTTCCATTTACAATTTTAATGAATCTTCGCCGGAAATTTAATTGGGAATTCATACAAATGAATTTGACAGAAAAAAAACACTAAACTCAATATTATAATACATAGGAGAGGCAAAAAAAATAATTGAACGTGTAAACAAAACCACTTTATGTAATTTAATACAAATTTTCAGAGCACAACGAGGTTAGCTATTTTGCCAGCTGAAATTCTAACCAAACACCTCCCGAATACAAAAGTAAATTTTACCGCTATGCTAACTCGCTTTGTGTCAAATACTAAACGTCCTTTTCTTCATGGATTTCTAAAAGCGGAGAAGGGCAAATGTGTAAAAGTGTCTTTGGAAAGTTCTGTGACACTTGGATGTGTTTTACAAAGAGACTTTGTGGAGTTCCTCAGCATTTCTTATGAGACTGTTGGAATGATTTCACAGTGGAACCCTTCCTTTTACCATGCATGAACTTGCTTATCTTCTCAAAGTTTACTTCACAGATTTGAGCTGCATTTCCGCACCGTTTCCGCGCGTGTCCCCACGTCCTCGTTATAACGAATTCTCAGAATTACATTCACACGAAGCTCCTTCACTCACCTACGGTTCAAATGCTTCTCTCTATGCACAGATGAATGTATACTGCACACAGGTTAGAAGCTGTTATCATCATCTCCGTGGAATACTAAGGCCTTCACCTGGACAGGCGGTTGACCTGGCGCACACATATTCTCACCAAAAGAAAACAACTGGACATTAAATTTTGCCAGATGCATTGGCTAATTGGCAGAAAGTCAGAACTGTCTACCGAAAATAAACTTCTAGTATACAAGACAATACTGAAGCCTATTTGGACTTAAGGCGCACCATTATGGGGAACTGCAAGTACAGCCAATATAGAAATTTTGCAGAGATTCCAAAATGAAGTACTTCGCGCTATAGTCAATGCACTGTGGTACGTCCCAGACAGACTGCTACACGCCGATCTAGGCATATCTACAGTACGGGAAGAAACTACAAACATCAGCCGTAAATATAAAGACAAGATCACAGCACAGTCAAATAAACTGGCAAATACAGGTGTCCCAGGAGGAATGGTCAAAACTTCGGGAGGGTGTTCCTTATGTTAAAGCATGCCGATATAACTCAAAACACCTATGTCCAAAGTTGAACGGTTACGGAGATAATGGCCTGAGAAGTGTCAAACTTTGACCGGTGTTACACACTTGTTGATTTCAAAATACATATTAAAACTGGCAGGAATATGTGGTTTCTGTAATGTTAATAATGTACGTAACATCAAACTAACTTGTGAGTGACATGAAGCCATAAAATTGAAGTACAAAATACTCGCTCGCCATGTCATAATTGTCCTTAGGGTTTCCAAGCACTATACATGACACATGACTGGCAAGCGCTGACGTAACATGGCTGACTGCGTTATAAGCCGACCACATAACTGTATTAAACGTACATTCACGGAAAATCTCTTTTGGAATTTCGTTTCCATTATCTCATGTGGATTATTATGGGACCACGTATGCACATTTCGTAAATTATTTACACCGTCCAGGGTAAAAGACGCCTCATCACTGAATAAAATGACGCTTAATAGTTCGGGATGAGCTTTTATCCAATGGCACAAATCCATACGCTGTGCATGGTCGCCTGGTTCCAGATGTTGTACCCTTTGATCATGGTAAGGATACAACTCTTCATCATGTAAAGTTCGCCACACCTGCATACGTGATACGCCGATGCGACAGGCCATTCTACGAGTGGACAGACACGGACTTCTCTGAACCATCTCAAGAATGTTCTCTCGTGCGTTTATCATTCGTACATCCTCCGCTTCAGACTGCACAGAAACACTCGGAAGAGAACCAGTATCACGCAATGTCTGGTGAATTCGCGTAAATACACTTCGAGATGGAATCCTTCGATCGGGAAAACGCCTTTGGTACCCTTCAACAGCAGCACGTGCATTGCCACCGCAAAATGCATACACAAAATGCATATCACAATATTCAACGTGTGAAAACACAAAAGGCATTTCAGCAACTCCGCACAACTACACGTAATTTACCAGCCATTCACGATGCTGCCGCAACGTACTCTGTAGGCTCTGTAGGTAGCATACGAGCCACATGAGCTTACGGCTAGTGTGAATCACCGCACTCAAGGACAAACATACATAAGGCGTCTCAGATGACAGGTACAGTGCGTGGACCCGCCAGAAGACCACACTTTTCTCGGGCCATTATCTCCGTAACCGTTCAACTTTGGACATAGGTGTTTTGGGTTATATCGGCATACTTTAACATAAGGGACGCCCTCCCGAAGTTTTAACCATTCCTCCTGGGACATCCTGTATATAATTAAACTAAGCAGACGAGCCCAGAAGACTCGAAATGTATAAGCCAACCGACATAACGACGGGTTTCACATAAATGTAATACATACAATAACAAAGTCATATCCGAAATAGGTTCCTAGAGAATGCTCACTGGAGCATTACTCTCCCTGACATGTTCTTTTATTAGTATTTAAGCCTTAGATTAAGTATTTCACAAGATGTGCTTATAGTCCTTAATGGACTGATTGTACAAATAAAAGGAGATACAAAAAAAGTCCGTGGAGCAAATTGTAATGTGGAACACAACGCTGTTTCAGCAAACAAGACGAATGAATTTAGATAGTATTTCTGCGTTTTTAATAAATACCTTTCACGATATATTATTGGGGCCGCGCTGTAGCTTAGTTGGTTGAGGCACTATGCTACAACCCGGAAGGTCGCGGGTTCGATTCTCGATGTTGTCATTGGATTTTTCATTTAACCTAATCCTTCCAGCAGCACTATGGCCCTGGGGTTGACTCAGCCTCTAACAGAAATGAGTATCAGGAATCTTCCTGGAGGATAAAAGGTGGCCGAAGCG